TATTAGGGATTCATGTCACTTTAGGACTCAGACAACTGAACAAAAATTGCATTCAACTTTGCATRTCATATCCAGTCATTTCTTATATAGTCTTAAAATAATCTTAGATATGTAAAGTGAAAGACTATTTGATGTAAATTAGCATTTCCAATGCTAGTCCAATCAACTTCATTTTTAATTCAAACCCTTAACAAGATTCGACATTAAGTAAAATAAATAAATTACAAATTATATGTCTAATATCAATATGCCCAGTATGACAGTTTTACTTAGGAACTTATGAAATAGAATTAAAATAGTTATCAAAAATAAATTGATTTGTAAGCCAAAATTATACTAATGCTTGTTATGTAAAATACAGTAACCTAGATCCTTGCATTTTGTTTTAAATTTATCACATATGCCATAATAAAGTTTCTATTTAAACTTGATTGATAYTACAAGAATAAGAGTACTTCTCTCTTTTGTGCTTCTAGAATTTGGATCTAGATGTGCCTTAATATTGTAGAAAGGCATCACTAATTCAAACATTCAGTGATATAATTCTTTAGGATACAATACAATAATGAATTATATAAACATAAGTACTTATATATCATTCAGTAGATACATATAATATATATACATGGATTTATTCTACTTTAAATCACATTATTGTGTCTACTGCACAGTTAGAGCTCTCAAATTAATTCAAGCAAATTATGAAAATATACAAAGCTTCACTGTAAATTTTCTTATTTGTGATCTTTATCTGAAGAGTTCTACATAAATCTGTATTTTTTCCATTACTCTCGGTAGCCTAAATTTCAAAATGGATGTGTCAATTCTGTCCTAACAATAACTATATTGGACTACAGAAAATAAACAACAGCTTGAAAGGKGTCTTAAATAATGTGTAACAGACCTACATTATTTTGGGCTTGGCAGACAGGAAAAATTAATACAAAGTAAGAGTGCCACTGATTGGAAGAAAGAGGAAGAAAGGGAGGGAGGAAGGAAGGGGAGAATAGAGGAAAGAAGAAAGGAAAAACTCACAACAGCCAATAGGAGAAACATCTGAGCTTCAATTCTCAGTCTAGTGTTGATCACTACTGTTGGCCCCAGAAAACGAAGCTCTGTTTTTAGTAATTTAGTGCCCAGTCATAAAATGATGGATGACAGTACTTTCTAAGGCCTTCCAGATCTATAATACTGAAACCCTCCCTGAAAGGAGCTTTCTTGTTTCATAGATGAGRATAAACAGTGCAGGGAGCAGCTCCACCAGAAGCTAAACCTTTACTCAGGAGACTCCACTCTCAGTTCCACAGAAACACTCCATCAACCAGTTTCCTACCCTTTATTACACAGGTGAGGTTGAAATACACCTCTTTTATCTGATAGCCAGGTGAAACAGGCAAATAATTAGTAAAAACTGTTAACATAGAGAAGAGAGCTATTAACTCACTGAAAACCCAGAMATAGGACACTTGTGCTATACTTTGGAGGATGAATGAAATACCATTGCAGAAAAAGGGGAAAAAAAAGGGAGGGGGGCACTGAGCAGCTAAATAAAATATGGAAAAAAAGGGACATGAAAAGCACACAAATTTTTCAAAAATAATAAAAATAGAATAGCAGACAGAATTTTCCAAGGCTAGGAAAAGAACAGAACAGAGCCCAGTTGTGAAGTCACTTGAATACTATTGGGAATAATCACTTTTAATATATATATATAATATATATATATATATATATATTATATATATATATACCAATAAAGAAAAATACTAGAATAATTATCTGAAATAAAACACACCAAAAGAGTGTAATTAGGATGTATTCAGTAAGCAACCTTAGAAATTCAAAGATCCTCGATATAGAATTATAAGTGTATGAAGCCATTCTTAGACATCCAGCTCTGATAAATCTTCAAATAACTTTAGTTGTATTTACAAGACCAAATAAGAACCGTGTTATGAACCCAGTCCAGATATCCTGACTACAGAATTKTAAGCAAATAATTGTACAGAACATAGGATGCTGCCACAAAAAAAAGTTTAAAAATGGGTCTCTATGTTAATCTCCAGGATATATAAAAAACTCAACACCAAAAATAAATAACCTAATCAATAAATGTGCTAAGGAACTGAACAGACATTTCAYATAAGAAATACAATAGATCAACAACTATATGAAAAAAAGTTTAACMTCTCCAGCAATTAGAGAAATGCATATTGAAACTAAGATTTCATCTCACTCAAGTCAGAATGGCAATTATCAAGAACACAAGCAACAATAAATGTTCGCTAGGATGTAGGGGAAAAGGTAAACTCATACATTGCTCATGGGACTGCAAATAGGTGCAACCATTATGGAAAGCAGAAGGAGATTCCTCAGAAAACTTGAAATGGAACCACCATTTGACTCAATTATCCCACTCCTTGGTTTATACCTAAAAGACTATACTGATGCAGCCACATTCATGTTTTTAGCAGCTCAATTCACAATAGCTAAACTATGGAACCAACCTATATGACGTTCAACAGATGAATGAATCAAGAAAAYATGGTGTATATACACAATAGAATATTACAAAGCCTTAAGAATGAAATTATGGCATTTGCTGGTAAATGAATGGAGCTGGAGAATATCATGCTAAGTGAAGAAAGCCAATCCCAAAATACCAAAGGCCAAATGTTTTCTCTGATATGTGGATGCTAATTCACAATAAGGGGCAGGGTGTAGTTAGGGCAAAATAGAGGTACTTTGGATTATGTAGAGGGGGAGTGAAGGGAGAAGGCAGGAGTATAGATGTAGGAAGTACAGTAGAATGAATAAGACATCATTACTGTATGTACATATATAATTACATGACCAGTATGATTCTACAACTTGTACAACCWGAAGAATGAGAAATTATACTCCATTTATGCATTCTAATGTCATGAGTAAGTAATTAGAACAAATAAAAATACTAGTCTCTACATCCACTCAAATTCCCTTTTCTTTGCTAATAGCATGTCCTTATATTTAATTAAAACCATATGTGGTTATTTTCAGTCTTACAAAATAACAAATAGATACAAAAACTGATTTCAAATTTAGTAAGCCATGGACATAAAATTCAAGTTCAATCCTTATAGTTTCTGGTATATAGTACAAGAAGATGATCAACATTTACACTATCYCAACTCCCTCATATTTCTGAAACCAGGTAAATAAGAATAAAGATAACAAGACATAAAAATGGACATGCAAAAGCACTAGACAATCTGAGGATGTTTATCATTTGTCCAAAATCACCTTTGCCAGACAAAGAAATATTAGGGTATATACAAAGAATAAAATTTCACACAACAAGCATGTTATGTAAAAAGATATCTAGTCATCATGGTTGGTTACTTTAATCCTGTGGTCTATGCCATAAAAATACAAATATAGTAAAAGCTAATCACATAAATCCTTGGATTATTGAACAACTTTTAAAATATTTTTAAAATTTGATTATTTTTATCAATCAAAGCCTGTAACTTCTATGTATAAAATGTGGCAAAACAGTATAGTTCCTTAGGTATATTTTATTCCAAGTTCTAATTGCCCTCCCATTCACTGAATAAGTTTTCATATGTATAAAATATTTATTGTATTAAAAATATAGCAAAAAATGTAAAGTATTTTATAAATCTATCCAGGATCATTTATGATTTATTTTTGCTCCATTATAAATCTTTCTTTAAGGTGAGTAAAAGTTTCAGGTTCAATCTATATTGATAAATCTGAATGAAATATATTTGAGTGATTAAATAGTGGAAGAAGACTAGTTCATGCTTTATAAAATACACACTACTGACTTTTCATGCCAATATGAATGTTCTCCAACTATAAAACATGAGGATCATTGGAGCCTGTAGCAAACTTTTCAAGAATCAAGAACCCAAACATTTTATGAGTAGATAAATCCTTTGAAAGTTCACATATATTATCCATGACCCTTATATAAAAACAAGTATTTTTTCCTTATTTATTTTTTCTCAATTTTTTAATGAATGTGAATATACCATCACCAAGATGTCAAAAAATTCAATATGGCAYTACTGGCAAACATCTGTATATAATTTATCTCTGAGAAGGAAATAACTCTAGTATGCTACAGTTTACCAAGAAAATAACTTTTTTTCTATATGTGTGTTTTGGTTTTGAGTACTAAATGCAAACATAATTGAATAGATGATCTTTATCAAGGGTATATAAAATCTTTATATTGATTCATTAAATTAATAATCCCTCATAAGATATTTCATATAAAAAAGGAAAAATGTCTCTCTTTTAAAATTACAGGTCTTTCATTATCTAACCCTGTGTAATGCTAAACTTAACTAGCATTATGTAGTATTAATATATCCCAATACTTGGACCTTATACAAATACAGCTATTTTAATAAATACTTACTGTGTCATGTGGCTGGAAAGTGTACTTAATAATAACAAGGGATAAATTAATTTTTGAAAAGGTCAATACTCAACCTTCAACCTTCAAACATATAACACCTGTATAAACTAGCTTATTTCTTTTAAAAAATAAAACATATGAATTACCCCTTTAAGTATAATTCCACTTGAATACTATTCTTTTATTATAATTCAACATGAAAAATGCAATCATTTTTTAATGGTGTTTCAATATGACAGTGTCTCTAAACCACCAACACTGGGACATCAGGCAAATCCTATTTTGAATCCCCATTGGTTTTTATTACTGTGGTTGATTTTAATATTCTTTATAAAAGTAGGTGAAAACCACAATACACAGTGTTTAACTCCTTTATCAAAATAAAAATGATATATTTTTCCAGGAAGAAAAAACAGGTTATACAATTTCATATAGATAATAGGAGTCAATTATTTCTATAATTAGCTATTAGGAGCAGTATCAAAATGTTTACTATTTTCAAATTATTGTAGAACATGTTTACTTTTAAAAAATAATTAAATGCAAAATAAATTATTTAAATGTTCCTTACCATGGCAAGAACCCTCAATTTCTTCATATCCTGTACTGCAGATACACCTTCCAAGAGGAACCAACCAATCTCCATCTGCTCCACAATATAGTTTAGGAGTATCACGCTCTTCAGCACTCTTCACACAAGAGCCCCGTACTTCAACCAAAGAGGAAGAGTCAACTCTTGGGATGGTATCAGGAAACATGGCCAAGTTTCGAACAGTGAAGGGACACTTTTTGTAGAAAACACGAACGGAGACCAGGGCAATGCATGCCCCAATGTCTTGAAATGCCAGATAAAATCCTTTTCTTTCTATAGGCCCCACTTCACGAATTTCGGTGTTGAGTTTGAGGATGCGATCACCTAAATCCATTTGGGTAAAACTCTCATCAGCAGCAATTGTGTCAATCTTTATATACTGGCTTGGCTTGAATTTAATTGCATGGGACTCATCTGATTCCATATAATACAGATTAAAGGTTTCTTTGCAAGTCCCCAAGACCCAAGGGATGCTGTTACAATCCCTTAGTGTGAACTTCATTTCCACATAAATTTTCTGAGCTGCATCACGTGAGATCCAGTTTGTACGAAGCCAGTTGTTTTGGTTTGGCTCCATTACATTGCATACCTGGTAAGTATGAATAGGCCTATTGTGTTCATCCATTTCAGTGATGGCATCCCACTGTGAAAAGAAAAAAAATTAAGTAATTATAAAATGACAATGGTGAAACGGAAACTTCCAAATGTTTTAACAAAAAGTGAATTAAAAGGATACAAATGAAGCTGTTCAAAACAATAATGCAACAGCATYTTAATCATGAGCCTCTGGTTGAGAGGATGGTTTCTGCAATTGACCATCCCTCTATGAATCTTGCCTTCCTACATATTAACTGTATTAACAGCAACTTTAATATCTCTAATTTCCTTAAGTGTAAAATTAAACTTAATATTACCCATTTCATAGGACTGTTATAAAGTATATACTACTTAAATACATAAAGAACAGTTTAATTATTTCCTGTAACACTAAAAGAACATAAAGAAGCATTCATTATCTGATTAAAAAAAAGAAAACAAAACAATGAGTCCCATGATATATGCTCTCTGGTTTCCCCATCTGTCCTCATATCCAATTTGCCACACATCACATCACGATGTATTTTACAGTGTTCAGTAAAATATTTATATGGCTCTTTGGGGGGATGTTTATATGGAGAAAAGGGTCAGAAAAATCACACAAGAAAYATGAAACTACTCAAAGACAGTATATAAGGATACTTAAAGTGGTGCATTATCTTTGATGTCAAATTTGTGATGTTTGTGAAAAAAATTGTTTCTTAGTTCATTGACAGAAAAAAGAGGAGGAGGAAGCAGAGGAGAGGAAGAAAAGAAGAAAGAGAAATAAAGAAATTGGAATTGGACTCAATACCAAAACAGTTAAAACGCAGCAATTGATACATTTCATCTTAACCAAGAAGGGAGAAAGTACTTTACATTAGATTTCTACATTTGAATTTGATTTCCTAAAATAAGAAAATAAATTCAAGATTGGTACAACTGTAAAAGAATATGAAATTGACTAACATATCTGGAAATTGGGATCTGAGGCAAGAATATAAGTTTGGGCCTTACATACCAAGTGTATAAATGTTTTTAAGTAATAAATCATACTTTAAGATGAAAATTTACATTTTTATATTCTTACTTTGTAAAGACAACTTCCTAACAACCTGGGATGCCAGGTCCATACAAAAATACTTGTATTCTTTAGAATAGCAAGGGAAGTATGTGGTGGTCCATAGAGGGCTAGCCGCTAACTTTGGTCAGTCCTACTGCTGTTCCATTCCTTGACTCTAGCTCCATCCCAAACCATGAGGGCTTCACCATGTACATATGGTGGCCTATAAGCCTTCAGATACAAGCTGTGCCCCTTTCTGCTACCCAAAGCTGACAACTTTGGTCTTCCATTTAACTTGAGATGAGCAGAACAATGCACAGTATATCCATTGGAGGATGGAACTCAACAGGACATGGAGTTCCTGAAGGAAACCCTGAGCTTGAGAAAGAAATTATGGGGTCTTGACTATCTGTGGTCTTATGAAAGAGGAAAGCATAGGATTTATGTGGCAAATCTCCTCATCCCTCAAGGTTAGAGCTTCATGAAGAGGAGTGAAGCCAGAGGAGAGAAAGGGCAAGATCATAAAAAGCTCTAGACACAGAGCATGGCCTTCCTTTACTGGGTCTAAAGATGACAGGAAGATGAAGAATATCCAATTTGGAATTTGAAAAATATTATAATTATTCTTTATTAACATGCAGAGTTAAATATAATATTTAAAGAACCCAGTAGGTTCTACCTCACTATTAGTTGGTTAATTTAAACATTTACTTCAAAACACTTTTAGCTTCATAAAATATATTGTGAATCTTAGAGGTCATGTGTTAATAAGAAATTGATAATAATTAATGAATTTATTGTATGTGTCAAGTTCCATTAAAGTGTTATTATATCTTTAAAATAAAAAATTAGGAAAATGTAGCACAGGTTTGTTTACAAGTAACAATGGAATGGGATATATAATAAACATAGTATGTGCTCAAATRAGAACTTCTTCATGAATTGGAGTGGTTTGGAGGGATTGGCAATGAAGAAGGCACTTGACATGCAACTTAAAGACTAAAAGAATTCAGTAAGGCAGAGGGGAAGATGTTGAAGCTAATGTATAAAACTAATCTACATGCCTACACTTTGAGAAAATTTTAAGGTTGTACCATAGATATCTAATGGATAAAATTTCAAAATTTCATTCAAAACAAATATATAATTCATTTTCTATGTGTGTAGATAAAGGTAGAAATTAGAGAAACACACAAATCAAACCACCATTAATTCTGTCATTAATTTGACAATTTGCTTCAGATGCATTGCAGTCACTGAACCCAAAATATTCTAACTCCTTAATCTCCTGGTACTTATTTTTTTTCAAATATGTTTTATGTTGAAATAAAATAGTCTACCCATTTGCTACAATTTGGATCTGAAATATCTCCACCATGTTAAATACTTGATTGCTAATCTGTAGCACTTTGGGGAGACTGGCCTAATAGAAGGAAATTGGATTACTCAGAGAGTGTTATGAAAGGATATATTGGTTATCCTCCCTACACACTCACTCACACACACACACACACACACACACACACACACACACACCCTCTCTTTTCCCTTCAAGACTGTCATGAGGTGAGCAGCTCCTCTGCCACATGCTCATTCCATTATGTACTGTGCTGCCACAGACCCAAGGGCAATGATGTCAAGTGATCATGAACTGAAACCTCTGAAATAGTGAGCCAAAGTAAAACTTTCCTCCTTATAATTGGATTATCTCAGGTATTTGTCACAGTGAAAAAAATATCTAACACACCATTATATAAAAATTTGCTAAGATACAATGTAGGAAAAAACTTAGTAAAGCAAACCATACATTTGCAAATCATTTCTGTTTTTATGGCCAACATAGGTAGAACAGAGATTCTTTTGTCTTGATTTTATAAGCCCTTTCTTTAGATCAAGTTGTGGAATTATGAAGCGATAGACAGAAAAGGTTAAAAACTTCAAGTTTCATGATCAGTAAGAAGTTTTGCTTAAGCAAGAATTAGGTATAGTCCAAAGGAMTATTTCTTTGGGCTACATGTTTATCTTGGATGTAATGACCTCTGAGGAAACTATACACTGAGTTTATACTCATTAAAGCTTTATACTCATTAAAGTAGCATAGAAAGGGCTGGGATGTAGCTCACTGGCAAAGTATTTGTCTTGTATTCACAAAGCCCTGGGTTCCACCCCCAGTTCCAAAAAAGACAAAAAAAAAAAAAGTAGTAGTAGTAGTAGCATGGATTTTCATACCTTACTGGTATTCATTTTCATGATACCAGTAAGGAATCCAAGGCTACAAAATTAAAGTAATTGCTCATTGTTGTACTTGTCCTGACCATGAACTAGAACCAAGGCTTCTGGCTTGATTTTCTATAGTCTATGATGTTTTGGCATCTTATAAAACTTGCTGGAGAGAGTTGAGCAGATGAAAAAACTTCCCTCCCAGGGCTAGATAATTAATTCTTAGAGATTGCAAAGGGCTGACCTGAAGTGGATCTTTTATATGCCAAACAACCAACCCCAAGTCTAAATCCCTAAACATCCACTTATCTAACTCTCACAGAGGCAGCCAATATTCCAATATTCCTCTTGTCCTAAATCATCCCAGGCTGGGTATGGGGCATTTAGAGACCACCCTTAAAGTACATATCCCACAGGAATTATTTAAACTAACTATGCTGAAGTGCCTACTCTGCAGTACCTTTCCTTGGAAATCTCATTAAAGTCTTCTGGCCTAGAGTTTTGCCATCTACCATCTCACCAAAACCTCTGTTGTCTTTCATGGCATGTACTAAACCCCTCTGTGGGACTCATGAGTAAAAAAAATGTACAGACTCCCTCTGTGGGACTCATGAGTATATAAATCTTCCAAAGCCTTATTAATTTTCCTGATATAGACACCACAACTATATCATAACATATCCAACATGCACATTCTTAAAATAGTCATATGACTCTTAAAACATTCTTTCCCAGAAGATCTCTGAAGGAAAACTCATTCTTGCTAAAGCAACAGTTTTCATTAAGCAAGATAGTTCACATGACAAAACTTGCACTCATCACCTATAATTCATATATCCACTCCTGTACCCAAAGAAAGCAACTCATAAAGAACTGCAGAAAAAAAAATTCTTTGTTCTACTTACACAGGCTGTAAGAACGAACATAGTTTACAAGATACTCTACTACGAAGAAGCTTCAATGACTTGTTTTTTTGGTTTTCTGAGCTTTTTTGTATATTATACATTGGCTTATTGCATTTATATTATGATACTGTTAGTCTTACATGAAAAATATGAAAAAAATTAAGAGCAAAAAGAATACATGAAGGAGGAATTGGTATATTTTGCTTCAGTGCCTGCTATATAAAAGCAAACAGCTGATGGGATTGACCAATATAATAGCAGAACTAATGAGATGTTTGATTATTTTCATCCTATATTTTCAACATTTAGGCAGTTCATGTATATTTAAACATTTCACAGCTGGAAAATAAGTATATTTGTTTTACTAGGGGTAACAGCATTTACCCACTGGATACATACGACAGGGCATTTATCTTAGTGCTGAGCTCTTGCCATTCCCATCTCAATTGAATATTTCTTAGAACTGACAGGAGTACAGAGCTCTAAATAGTCTGTAGTGCATTTATAACTGAGTGCTCTCTTTAAAAAAAATCTCTACCCACATATGAAGTTTTTGTTTCCATAACAAGTCAAATAAACTAGGCAAAAAACTGAATTACTTTTGAGAATAGAAAGTTAGAACAAGAAAATTAATACTTAAAGCAGAAATATCATTGAAGAATAAGACTGCTTTCTTTTCTCACAGATATTAAAATAAGTCAAACACATAGCCTTTGTAGGGAAGGAATGTTTAGATAATAAATTGATAAACTGACCATATATCCAAGTCCTCATATAAATGTCTCAAATGTATATCTTCCTCCTTTTGAAAAATATTTAGAATGCAACAGGAATATAAATTTTATTCCATGGTAAACTTTGAAATTTTAAGATAAAAGC